ATGTATATGAGTGTATACATGAGTATAAATAAATATAAATATATGTAATAAAAAGGAAGGGGTAAATAAAAACTGCCACCAATAGAACTTAGAAAAATAATTTAAAAAATGGTCAAAGTGATTTCAGCTATACACACCAAATTAAAGAATCACAAGATATTTTATATGATATAAATAATGAGACAGACAAAAGAAAATATAGAAAAAGATTAGAAATAGAGAGAAAATGACATCCTTTTAGAAGACAGAGGACTATATGTGCATGTGAATGTTGTATACAAGTATATAAACATGCATATAACTCATCCAAATTATATAAGAAATTAAAACAACAAATACAATATAGTTTTAAACATAATTTTAAAAATAACTTCAGAAAATAAAATGGAGCTATATTCCAGTGAAATTGACCCAAATCCAACAATGATATTATGCTACTAAAATTATTAATAAATTATCTAATTATTAATAAGATGAAAATAAGACCCACTGGAATTTATTCAGAGCTACATTAAATATCAGAGAAGTTGAAACACTTAAAAATATTTGTAAAGAAAGAGATAAAGCATCAACTGTTTAATTATATATACTCACATAATTGTATCATTCAATACAAAATATTTTGCAATTTTCATAGTGAATAATATTTTGGCCATAAATTTTTAGTAAATGTATCATTTTACAAAAACAGCACAAGAGGGAGCTCAAGAGTCATAAAGTTAGCAAATCATAGCACTTCCTGAAAGTCAAAGTAGCTAACTTCATGAAAAATGAGCATCATATAATGGCTGAAGTTAAATATCATTTTGAGTTAATATAAGAACTAATATAACAAGAAACATAACAGTGTAAGTTTTACCATGAGGATCAGATGTAACATTCTATGTGTTAGATGTTCTGTTTCGCAAAAACATATAGCAAATTCTCAAAAGAAATTTTTTTTTTTTAAATCTAAGTAAGCCACTACAAAAAAGCCACAATGCCTTAAGGAAGAAGATGGAGGAAGAGAGGAAGAAAAAGGACAAGAAAGAAAGAAGAAATGAACAAAGGAAAGAACAGATAATTAACAAATGGCAATAAATACATAGCAGTAAATCAAATCCTACTACCACTGGTCAATTTTTAGTGATTGATGGGAGCTGGGTGGAGATCATAATACACCATATGCAGTTGTCTAACTATAATGTTGTATACCGGATACTGCTATATATTTGTAAGCCAATATTACTTCAATAAAAATTTAAAAAGGAAATATTAAAATACAGACATAATAGAAATTAAGAAGAAAATTGAGTGTTACAAAGCTCTGGATTAAAAAAAAAAGTAGCAATGAGCCTATGCATCCCCAGAACTTTTTTTGTAAACACTATTACTTAATAAAAGAAACCAGGGCTTCTTATAGAAATGCTGAGTTTAGGACTCAGATGGGATAAATGCAAGATGAGCCTGGAGAATCTTATAGAGCTAGAAACAAGGACTTGCTCAAAAATTAAAAGACTGGGAGTATGTCAAAGGGTCAGATAGGTCAACCTAAAAAAGCTGTCAATGACCAAACATACATATATATATATATATATACACATATATACATATATATACACATATACATATATACACACACACATATATGTATATATATACACACACACACTTATTTTCCTAATTGCTTATGTGTACAGTGGCCCCTTGAACACTGCAGGTTAGAACTGCCTTGACACACTGTCTGGATTTTATTGTAAGCATGTGGTATAAATTTATAGTATTGATAAATACCTATAGAACTGAAAAATTATTTTCTCTTCCTTATGATTTTCTTGCTAACATTGGCTTTTATTTGCTTTACTCTATGGCAAGAAGAAATGCCTAGACACTAGAAGAAATGCCTGGAATAAACCCTTCCTTAGCACCTTCAGAGGGAATATAATCTTAGTGTCACCTTGATTTCAGACTACATTCTCCAGAACTGTGGAGATAATAAATTCATGTTGTTTAAGCCATTTGGCTTGTGGTACTTTGCTATGGTAATCCTAGATTATAAATACAATGCCAGAATGGATAATTCAAGAGTAAAATACCTATAATACATGTTATACAAAAAATGTGTTAATAACTTATGTTAGGAGTAAGGCTTCTGGTCAACAGTAATTAAGTCATCTGGAAGTCTAAGTTATGTATGGATTTTTAGCTATGGGAGATAGAGTTGGCACCCCTAACCCAAGAATCTTGAACTACTGTATTGTATATAAACATGTGTGTTGCATATAAACATGTATATATAAATATGAATTTTGCATTTGAATTAAAATGACGTAAGAAAATTTACATATTGCAAGGTGAACCTAGCCACCTCGATTGGGTAGTGTTGGTTTTGTTCCTGATGTGTGCTCCCTTCATAACTACAAAAAAAAAAAAAATGTGATGCAGAAAGAAGATTTCCTGCTGAAAATAGTGTCCAACAGAAGTGTACCTAAATGATCTTTCTACAAGGTTAGTTACTGTTTATGGTAAAAAGACTTGGGGCACACTTCTTCCCACCATCCTGTTCAGTGTCATTAACCTCTCACCAGAAATTGCTAGAAGATGTTATTCTTGTAACTGATGTCAATGACAGACTTTTTGAAAAGATTTCTAGAGAATTACATTTAAAAAATGAAAAATTCTAGTTCATTAGATCCAAGTGGAATAATATTCTGAATTGATGGGAGCTAGATTAAAAGGTAACTATTGTGTCTAACAGGCAGCTGGTCACCTTGCAACAATGGGTAGTTGGTGCATCCCTTAGCTGGTATCAACCATGATAGTAGAACAGTAGTATGTCTTATCATGTACGTAATCACCAATGAGACTTTTGGGTCCTTGCAAACTATGATGTGGCCTATGGTGTATCCAACTGGAAGCTCAATTCTTGTTGAGGCCCTGTTCCCTAGAAGTAAACTGAAACTTGAGCCTTTTAGTCAGAGCACGATCAATGGTAAGCGATTCCTTTTTTCTTTCTTTTTTTAATTTTATATATATTTTACATCATTCTTCCTTTTTGTACAATGCATGCTTTCTCCTTTCAGGTGTAGTCCCCACAAAATTCCCATCACCAATTCACCTATGCAGCATCACCATAGTCCCTTGTGTCAGAACACATTCCCTCCCTTGTTTTGACCCCTCTCCATCCCTGTCCCCTGATTCCTTTTTTCAATAGAGTTACTTTTAAGAAATTGGAATACATGGGGCTTGCTAAGGCTTGAATTGTTGGTGTGTTCCCCCATAATGAATACTGTGGACTATTACACCCCAGTAAATAGAAATGACACCTTATTTGGAGATAGAGTCTTTGTAGAGTCAGTGAATTTAAAATGAGATCAGGGGCCTCCCCGGTGGCGCAGCGGTTGAGCGCTCGGTTGCGAAGCTGCCCGCGGCCTCTGCGACGCCGGTTCGATCCCCGGCTGCTCCCCGGCCACCGGAGGAGCGTCCCACATGGCGCGCAGACCTCTCCTGCCGCCCGCTGCTCCCCTCAGCAGTGTACTTCGGTCCTTCTGCCTGCTCTGCTCCCTGCTCTGGCTCTGGTGAATTCTCTCACCCTCCCGCGCTTCTGACTGTACCCAGTGCATGTATAAAAAAAAAAAATAAAAAATAAAAAAAAATAAAATGAGATCATTAGAACTGACCCTAATCCAATATGATTGCTGTCTTTATAAAGAGGAGAAAGTTTGGAAAGAGACATGTATGTAAAGATGATATCATATAATGACTGGAATTATGCCCCCACAAGCCAAGGAACAAGCAGACACTAGAAGAAATGCCTGGAATAAACTCCTCCTTAGCACCTTCAGAGGGAATATAATCTTACAGTCACCTTGATTTCAGACTACATGCTCCAGAACTGTGGAGATAATAAATTCATGTTGTTTAAGCCATTTGGTTTGTGGTACTTTGCTATGGTAATCCTAGATTATAAATACATTGCTGGAATGGATAATTCAAGAGTAAAATACCTAGAAATTTCCTTTAGGATTGGGCATTGTAGACATACTTCAGGAATTTTTATTGTTTACATATTGGATCTGAATTTTAGAAACCTATACCTTTTACATTTCCACATGGCAGAGGGGAGATTATCAGTAAAAATGACATTATAGACATGTTGCTGAATAAATAAAAAAATTCTTGTGTATAATTTTCTCAGGATTACAAAGGTAGATTATGAAGATATGTCAACATTATTTGCTCTAAACATAAACTACAATGCAATCCTTTCTCTTGGAACCTAGGGGATATTTACCGATTCTCATGTTTCATATCACAATTTCTTTTGGGGAAAAATACAAAATACGGTAACAAATGAATACTTAGATAATAGCAAGAAAAGAGAACAGAGGGTTTGTAGTTTTTAGCTGTCATGGTGTGGGCTATAATCAGGTTTTCTTGTTTATTGCCAATAAGAAATTAAAATACAGCAGGTCTTTGAATAACATTGTTTTGTCCAGTGTCATTTGTTATAATATTGATCAGAAAATGAAACTCACAACTTAAAAACAGGGTTATTCAAGGACCTGCTTTCATTATATATTGTTTTGCTTAAAGTAAGTTTCCAAAAACCTATTGATGTTAAGTGAGGATGGATATAGTGTACCTGATTTTCATGTGGATGTTTCCAAACTAAATGTATTGACAATAATGCTCAAATGCCACCACATAAAAGGAAATAAATTTAAGGAGTCCAGCCCAGGGAAACTGATCCTGTGGCAAGTGAACAGTAGTCAAGGCCGAGACAAAATCATGGAGGAGGGCAGTCAGGTACCCAGTGTGAGGGAATGCAGTGGAAGTCTATCCAGCAGTAACTCCTTCAAAATGATTTTCTTCCAGAAATTCTCTGAGATATACAGCAACTGTTACCACTGATTCAAATCTAGAGTTGGAGAACACAAATGATAGTGTTTTGCACTACAATTTAAAAATGTCATAAATTACAGTCCATTAGGAGATGGCCACATATATTTTATATATATTTATAAATTTTTATCCAGCCAACTAATGTACATATCTCTTATCCTGAGACCTAGATTTAAATACAATGGTGGAGTCATATACGATAAAGCTCCATGGATTCCATCTTCAATATGGTCGTGAGTAACTTGAACACCAGCATTTTGAAGTCTTGTAACATACATGAGTCCATCATCTCTTACGATATCATATTGACAGGTAAGAATGTAAGTTGAGGGCAGATTCTGTAATTGAGAATCATTGGCCAATAAGGGTGATGCTCTGATATCCATAAGTGCCGGCAATGGAAAACTAGATCTCCCAAGAATTGGTTCAGTATAAACATGGTCCTTTCTATACTTCTCAGGTAAGAGAGTACTCCAGTTAACAAATTTGAATAGATGTCTTGATTCCAGAGGCATAAATTGGTTTCTTTTCACTGCCTGGGAAAATCCTTCATCCTTGGTTAGATACAAGCTCACGAACTTTATGGCTAAGTCCCTTGTCAGAAGTATACCATGCTCATTTTCTCTGTGAGCTGGCAAATCAGAATCAATTATTTGTAAGTGAGGGTATAGTAAAGCCTGTATCTTGATCTTATGCTTTATTTTAAGATCATTTCGCACCTGAAAAAAATATGATGATGTCCTATAAGGCAATGATTTTCGAAACACCAGGAAGAAGAAATTTGATTTTAACAATTTAAGTAATCTTGATGCAAACATATTGATATAAACTAATGTGATATTATTTTTACAATATTTATGTCAGTGACATGAAAATGTCAAGCTCATTTCACTAGTGATATTTTAAAATTTTTTAGTTGCATGTGTGAAAAAGAGAGATATAAACTTCCAGTTATAAAATAAATAAGTACTTGGGATGTATAGTCGATGATACTTTATTGTATATTTGGAAATTGTTGAGATAGTAGATTTCAAAAGTTCTCATCACAAGAGAAAATGTGTAACCAGTGAGGTGATGGATGTTATCTGGACTTATTGTATGATCATTTTTTAGCATATACAAATATTCAGTCACTGTGTTATATACCTAAAACTAACATAATGTTACATGTCTCTTACATCTAAAATTGAGGCATAAGGCAGGAGGTGGGGCTACTCCTGGACTACACCAGAGCAATGTGAGAGACTAGAATAGCATCCTGAGTAAGCTCCTCATTCTGAGGTGATGACAGAAGTGGCAGCAGTTGGCTCCAGAACCGCAGTAACACCACACACTAGCCCTAGATTTGTCCTAGCAAACTGGTATCTTGTCATCAACCGAGTTGATGTATGAGTTCAGTACAGTAGGCAAGGGGGAGGGAAAATTAAAAGAGGGAAGCATATAATTGTTTTTGCCAAAAATCATATATATATATATATATATATATATATATATAAAATTAAATGCAACCAACTAAAGCAACCAGAGTGAATAGAAGAAATAAATATAGCTATTACAATAATATTATTTTCTTTAAAATTTTTTTAATTATAAAGTTTAAAATATCTTAAGATTTTCTTTAAGTTTAAAACAATATTATTTGGCTATTCAGCAAAAGTTTCAGCATCATATCATACATTTTGAGAAACATTATCCAACTATAAACTAGTACACAGATCAAGTTTTTTAAAAAACCAGTTGATAGGGCCTCCCTGGTGGCAGCAGACCTCTCCTGACTTGACCGCTGCTTCCCTCAGCAGTGTACTTCGGTCAGTCTGCCTGTTCTGTTCCCCACTCTGTCTCTTGTGAATCCTCTCACCCCACCCCCACACCTCTGGCCTGAACCCCAGCTCTTGTATGCATAAATAAATAAATCTTAAAAAAAAAAACACTTGATAGATAATTTATATTCTGAAAGAATGGTGAAAAGTTGGGAGGGAAGACAAAATTGTTATTATTATTTTTGTTCTTTTATGAATAGACCTATTCACAGAATGTAAGTTTATTTTTTCTTAGTGTCCTTTTTTTTTTCTTGGTCTGGAAAGTAGAAAATGGTGCACTATGCCATTCTATAACCAAGTTGGCTCATTTTAAATGTATACTGACTTTTTTTTTTCCTTTTGGTATACTTTTATTTATTTTTTTATTGTTTAAATTGTATTTTTATATTCCCCTTACAATTACAACCCCCTTATTTTGACTCCAAGCCCTCCTTTCCCCACCCTCCAACCCCCATAGAGAAGACAAAATTATTTTAAAAAACTTGCTGATATTCATAGAGTTTGATGTGAAAGGAGGGATATGGAATAATTGACATGGAACACTTTTTTCTTTCCAGAGATAAAAGTGTTAACGATGACCTCACAGGCTATGGGAGAGAAGCACTCTCTTGCCTTTTCAAGTGAAATATTCATATCTGGAGATGTATCTCTAAGTCATCACTGACTGCAGTGAACTGACCCCTAAGGCAGGAATAAATTGACATCCAAAAGGCACTTTAAATAAAGGGAAATGGTATCATACCACCTTCACAACGCACCCCAAAGGTGCTGAAGTTTCCACAAGCTTAGAATGAGAGTGAACCAAGATAAAGTTTCCTAAAAGAAATATCCCTAAATGCAAAATTTTGCAAAGGTCAATGGATAGATGATTTATGATCAAAAACCCATCCTCAATGCCCTAAATTTTAGAAAAGAAACAATCACATATACTGGGAAGAGGCGAAAAGAATCCACCATCTTTATCTGTCCCTAACTTTCCTTTTGGAATACCATATAAAATAAATCACTTTCACAAATGTATCACCATTTGCCATTTTAGATCCTTATTAGGTAATTTTTTTCTTGGCCATTTAATAATTTTTCCTATCTGTCTTCCTTCAAACTCATTTTGAAGTCAGCCCCCTTCAAGACCAAGATATTGGGAGGAGTCCAGCTGGCCAGATCCCCTGAGTCTGACAATTTTGCCCTAATCTGAACAACTATGTTATCAGTCTGACATAAATCTCTTCAGAATTTTTTCTCTACATTTTACATGCACTTATTACCATGTATGTAGGATTATGCCGGGAAACACCTGATCAGATTTAACTTCTCTTTCTCTCAAGTCCTCTAAACTTCCTAATTCCTTGGAGTCAATTTAAAAGAAGAAATAAGAAGGTCTTCCATGATCTGCCCCTACTTACCTCTTTCACCAGGTGCTTTCCTTTCCCCCCCTGATATAATATCTATAAACCTCTTTCATTTCTTTGAACCAAAAGCCAAGGTAATAAATAAGTAACTGAATAAACATGTATGAATCTACCCACATCTTCTCAGGCAAAGAGCAAAACCAAATATACCTGATTATAAACTTGAGTAATCAGTTGCTACTACTTCCACCAGTAAGCAGGGTGTGTGTCTTTATGCAATCTCTAAATAATTTACGCAAAGACACATTGAGGATGATCTGTAAGAATGTATCTGTTACACAAGGAGTCAGGTTAAGGAAAGTTGCCAATCAGGTAAAACAGGTTGAAGAAAGGTCAAACTCTGGAATATTCTGAAGGGTGGAAAAAGACAGAAGGACTGAAAGTATCATGCCAGGGTTTGCAAATATATAAATATTTTTTAACTATTGTTCCAGGTTTCAAAAACACTTAGTGTCTCATGTTTGCACTGGCAGCAAATAATAGGATAATCACTATACTGTAACTGTATGTAAATTGCTTCAGTCATGTAGAAGAGATTTGCCTGGGGAGTTTTCAGAGTTAACACCCAAATGGAGAAATCTATTTGGATATATATTTCATGACTTCAATGGAAGGCACAAGTTAGAGGGCCTCAAGCTGATAAATCAGAGCTGAAGTTCTGAGACCAGATGAGATAAAAGGCAGAATGACTAAAAGTGGAGACATGGAAAATATATGAATAATGCATAGATTAAAATAAAATTGAAACAGATGGCCATAAAATTGGATCTAAATGCTATTATATTTAAAAAAAATATTTGTTCTTCTTAATTAAAGATTAAGGAACTGTGTCCAGAAAAGTTTCTTTGACTGTAGTGACTCCAGATCATTGTGCCTGGCAAGTAACTTTAGTAACATTATGTAATGTTGCCAGAAAATCTTAGAATATTCATGGGAAACTATTCATTCCCTTTCAATAATGGGAATATAACTGCAAATGAACAAAGTCCCCACAAGAAAATTAACAGCAGCTCTAACTGTCCTCTAAATCTATGTATCTTTTCATATTGTAGATTTTATATGAAACCTTTTTTTATCTTTAAAAAATATCAATATATACTCTTTAAAAACTGGCAAATTTGATACCCATTTATGCAAAAACTATCAGCAACTAGAAATATAAATATCTTTCTCAATCTGACAAAAGCCAATTATAGTAAGTCTTCAAGTGACATCATATCTATTTGTGAAATACTTAATAATTTCCTCCTAAGATCCAGAGCAAGATAATTATAATCAAAATGTGCTAGAGATCTTAGTCAATGCATTAATTAAGAAAAACATAGAGACTGGAAAGGAAGAATTAAAATGATTTCTAGCTACAGAATACATAATTATGTAAATTTCCTAGGAAATGAAAAACCACTAGAATTTATAAGTGAATTTTTCAAGGATATCATCGTGAAAGACAGGTGTGAAAATCACATACATTTCTATATAGTGTGTACAAATATTTGGAAAATATTATTTAAAATGATATCATAATCTTTCAAAAATGTTTTAAGTCTTCTACACTGAAAAGAGCAAAATAATACTAAGGAGAGAGATGAAAATCTAAATGAAATAAGAGACATACCATGTGCATTAATTGGAAATAACAACATTATTAAGATACTAGTCTTCCCCAAATCTATAGATAAAATTCAATACCAATAAAATTCAATTAGCCTTTCTCTTTTAGACAATGATGTGATATCCTAATATTTTCATGGGAAAGATATAGAGAAATAATTTAGGAGAAAAGAACAAAGCTGAAGTTAATGTAGTTTTAGCATTAGGATAGCTATATAGTGCAAGAGAATAGAAATAAGAATTCAGAAATAAAATGTCATTATGATTAATTGATTTTAGACTCAAGTAACACTCTAATCCAATAATAAAGGCTAATCTTCTCAACAAATAGTGCTGAAAGAACTGGCAGTCTGTATGTGGGGAAAATGAGCTTCAGTCTCTACCTCTCAGAATAAAGCAAGCATAATATACCTGTTGGGTCACCGCTGCTGCTAATGTGGCCCCAGAGCTGTCTCCTGAAATACAGATTCTGGCAGGATCCACTCCATATTTTGTAAGAATTTTATCCTGAAGAAAAAACTTGACTGCTGTGATGCTATCTTCAAACTGAGTAGGAAAGAGGTGCTGAGGAGCATTTCTGTAGCTTTTAAAAAAAGAACAATTTATGTGAACAGTCTTAAAAAGAACCATTAATGGTTGCATCTATCCATATAGCTTTTAAATATCAAGGACAGAGCCCTCCCTGGTGGCACAAGGGGTTAAGACGCAACCTATGAAGCTATTCGCAGCCACTGCAGCACGAGTTCAATCCCCAGTCAGGGAGCTACCCACATGGTGCAGCAGACCTCTCCTGACTCACCCACTGCTCCCGTCAGCAGTATATTTCAGTCGATCTGCCTATTCTGTTCCCCACTCTGTCTCTCGTGAGTCCTCTCACCCCCCACATCTCTGGCCTGTACCCCAGCTCTTGTATGCATAAATAAATCTTTAAAAAAATATATATTAGAAGCACAGCTGACTTGATTTGGGAATTAAACTCTACTTTGTGAAGGTAAAAATCATAGCAAACTTGGTGGTGGGTGTGGTGTCGTAATACACTCTGAAGGAATGTGATCCTATAGCTCTGAATCATATACAATGTTATAAACCCAAGTTATCTCAATTTAAAAAAATCATAGTACGCCAAGAAAAACGCTCTTACTCTAATGCCACAACAACAGCATCAAGTTTTCTTGCCGTCCATCTATTCAGGAAGTCAAAACCCGTCTGTTCTGAAAAAAAGAGAAATGTCAAGGTACTCCCTATAAATAAAGAACAAGAGAAATGCTTGTAGTTATGAACTTAGAAAGATATGTGACTTGTGTTACAAAAGAACCTCTATTTCCTGCCTGTTTCCATGTATAGGGACCTGAATCAACATGACGTTATCGTAGGAATGGCTCTTCATTCACTCTGTACAGGAGTAAAAGATGACCTGAAACTGGTGTTCTGGGGAAAGGAAACCAGGCTCAGTCCATTATAATTTTCTTTAAGCATTGCTGTCTGCCTGCATTGGCCATTGTGGGGGCCAGTGCTTTCTACTCTGCTCTGCTCCCCTAAACAGCAACTCCAGAGGGAGAAAGTTTGTGATTGGACAGCCAGGCTCCAGATGAGTTCATTTCTCACTCAAAAGTGATACATCACTTTTTTGCCAGTCTTCATTAGAAATAAAAGTTATGCAGTGGAGGTTCCTCAAATTACTAAAAAATGGAGCTACAATATAATCCAGCTATTCCACTCCTAGGAATCTACCTAAAGGACACAAAAATAATTACAAGGGAAACCTGCACTCCTATGTTTATTGCAGCATTGTTCACAATAGCTGAAATATGGAAACATTCGAAGTGCCCAAAACAGATGACTGGATCAACAGGTGGTGTGTGTGTGTGTGTGTGTGTGTGTGTGTGTGTGTGTGCTGGAATATTATTCAGCAGCCAAAAAGATACGCTTATTCCATCACAGCAACAAGGATGGAGCTAGAAGGAATTATGCTCAGTGAAATAAGCCAGAAGGAAAAAGAAAAATATCGGATAGTTTCAGTCATAGGAGGAACACAGGGAAACCAAACAAAGGGTCAAAAAATAAGACAAAACTTTAAAGCAAACTGTAGATCTACGACATGGAGCAGGGAGGGAGTGAGGTCAAAACAGAGAGAAGAGCAAAAGTTACTGTGGTGATGGTCATAGGTGATGTGGTAGGAGATTTATGGGGATTTACTCATTTATTGCACAAAAATGAATAACAATGTAAGGAAAAAATAATTTAAAATGAAATAATGGTGATGGGACAGGCTGAGGGGAAGGTGGCAAGAGAGCAAAAGCAGTTCATTAGGGTTGGGTTGAAACAAAATTATTGAGAGGAACATTAGCAGGGACAAAAAAAATTAAAGAATGTAGCAATCTGGAAATCTGAACACTATGCTGAGGGATTTACATTTATTTCACTATGTGATGAGAATCACTAAACAATTTAATCAAATACATAACCAGATTTGCAGGGTAGAAGAATCCAAATATGAGAGCTAAGGAACAGTGAAAATTGACCATGATTGCCATTTACTGAGAACATTCAAGAGGCTGAGATGTTGTTCTGCATGGATGTTGGCTCTTTTAATTGTTTGTTCTCCAAAAATGTTTTTAAATTTTTAAAACTTGATCTCATAGGAACAACAGCATATGCTTTGATTTACTATTTAAAACATTTTCATCATTTCAATGTTTCTTCTCTTGAATATATTCTGATGCCAAAGGAAAAAAGTTTTACTAATTGACTTGTTCATGTCCAACTTTCATTTGATTAAGTTTTCAGTATAAAAGCTGAAGAGAAGAAAATGCTTATCAAAACACAAAACAGAATGGATGCACAATCTCTATATGTTTTGACAGAGATCTGTATTGGATCTCTAATATTTATAGATAAACTTATACATAGTAATCATATATAATATATGCATGTATACATCAGTATGTATATTTACATAAAATAGTTTTTGTTATCACAAACATACAGCCAGTGATACTTTTTTCTTATGTGATGAACTTACTGAAACTTCCAAAACAGTAAGCACCCCCGTGAATGTAGATTACAGCTCGTCTTGCCATGTCTGATTTTCTCTTAGGCAAATACAGACGTACTGGAATGTCAACAAATGCTGTATCAGTCACTGTGATGTATTCATCTGAAAGTGGCTGGGTGTAATCCAGTCTCAATATAATGGAAATAAACTCTTCATATCTCATAATGCCTATATTTTCAAAACACATAGCCTATAAAACAAAGCAAAATTAAACATTTTCATCATTAAATAATATAAAGTGAATAAAGAGAAAATTAAATAAAAAATGGAATGTTTGTAAAAATTACCCAAATAATAATATATAGATCATAGTGCATATAACCTTGTTGCCTTTGAAAATGTCAACAATTCTGTATGTTAAATTAATAATTATGACATTCAAAAACTGTCAATTTAACTGGAGGGTTTTTTTTTTTAATGTCTGCCACAATTATTCCTTACTTGTTAATTCTTATCTGAAAAAGTTCCAGGTCTCATGACATTTTTTCATTCTGTTTTTGTAAGTATGTGGTCATATTTTTCCCTTTTTTGTTCATTTTATTTAATCCAAATTTTCAAGTGTCATTTTTTTCACCACACTACTAATTATTCAAATATCCAGGTTTCAACTGCAATATATTTGTGTCTTTCACCCTCCTACCCACACCACCAAAATCCAATATCTGGTATCACTGGGAAAATTTCTCTTTGGTATATTTGACCAACTTCTTCTAAGACGTGTCACTGAACAGTTTACACAAAAGAAAAACTTTAAAAATAAACAGTACATTAGACAGTCTTTATTATGACAATTATTCCAATGAATTTCATTCAGGTCTTTCAGAACATCTAATCCCTGTAGTTAATAATGAGGAAGCATGCAGTAATCCTATAATCAAAACCAAATCTACACCCATTTTTTTTAAACCATCCTCTTGTACCACCACAAACTCAACTTAAGGCCTTAACCAAATTACTCTTTCTACTTCAATTTTCTAAACTATATAATTGTAATAATAACAATAAATCCCTCAGTGGGTCATAGTAGATTTTATATGAGTTAGGATTTTTTTAATGTACACAGAAGAGTGTATAGACCATGTAAGTATTCTTTTTTTAAAAAAAGGATTTATTCATTTATGTATACAAGAGCCTGCGGTACAGGCCAGGGGTGTGGGGGTGAGAGGATTCACCAGAGACAGAGTGGGGAACAGAACAGACAGACTGGCTGAAATACACTGCTGAGGGGATCAGCGGGCGCGACATGAGAGGTCTGCTGCGCCATGTGGGTTGCTCCTTGGCTGGCCAGGGATCGAACTCATGCTGCAGAGGCTGCAAACTGCCTCATAGTTTGCATCTTAACTCCTTGCACCACCAGGGAGTCCCCCCCCATGTAAGTATTCAATAAATTTTGTTGAGTATACTTTTCAAATAAAAATGCTTGAGTATTCTCATGCCAATTGAACATAGTTAATAGACTATCCCTTAAAGCAAGTTTTTGGTAAATGAAAAACTTAGGTTAATTTTTCATTTGGTACATTAGTTTTTAAAAATTAGATTTCTGGAAAATTGCCTTATTTCTCATTTCTTAGATATTTTCTGGTTTTGAGCAGATAAGTAGTTTTTGAACAAAAGCTCCTAATATAGAGATTACCTTATGCTTTTATATCATACATGATACAGGAAAATTTTCAGGGTTGGACAAGCTTGCTTTTACCAAGTTCTGCCATACAATTTAACATATGACTCGACAATAATGCATTTATTTTTCAAGGCTACTCTGTCAGGAACTCTAATTTTCACTTCCCTTTCATAGGTTAAAAGAATTAATTTTCTTACTGGTTCACAACTTTGAGTTACAAAGTTTACTGCTAAAAAGAGTAAGTTGTTTTTCCTTGAACAAAAAAACGTAAGTTTTACCAGAATAATCTTTAATTACATGTTTTTCTTCTTTTTTAAAAAGAGGACAATCTATAAATAATTCCCAATATATGAAGTACATAGTTTTATTACAGATGGCAAGAATAAGTTATAGCTGAGATAGAAAAACTAGAATTTTAAGTGGAATAGTCTGCTAATATAATTTTGAATATCATTTCACTATCAGTCATTTTGTGTTTTAAAATTAATATAAAATAATCAAGACAAACAATAGCATTTCTGTAGAACTGATGCTTGCTTACCCACATCCTTATTCATTTTAAATCAGGAGTAGGGACATTAGAGAGACAGTTTGGTGAAGGTGAACTCTAGAAGTGATGGAAGAGAAAAATGTGAGGACTTAGATATAGCAGGTGGCTGTGGTTTCACAGAACTGCTCTATGACTCTCCCTCTTATGCCATGGATTGTTCTCTGTTCTTTCTGTTTTCAGCCTCCTACTGTTACTAACATTAGAGAACCTTTCTGGAAGCCACCCGGTTTGACTGAATGACCATGGTTTGAAATGAGGCAGTCTGGGTTCAAAGTCTAATTTGCCACAGTTGTCACTTTCTATCTGCATGAGTTTTTCTGAGCCTCTTTTTTCAGTCCTGGTTTAAAAAAAAAATTGGAAGAGAGTGGAGATGAGTGGAGGTATACATTTTAGAAACCAGTATGTTCTAAAATCTCAAAAATATCTTCTCCATATCAAGAAGATATTTTAGCTTCAACTCATAACCCACCACAGATATTCCAAGTCAGACAATCTGTGAAGTCCAGCAATTCAGACTGAAGAGAAACAGTGGAAGTTACTGAAAAGAGCACTAACTTAGCAACAGGTATAAGCATCAATAATGTTCATCTGTGTACTATAATCATGTGACTAGTTTACCCTGAAAATTCAAATGTAAGTTATCAGATAAACTTCAAAGATTTTCTCTTAGAAAATACCATTTATTTTATGGATATGACAACTTACAGTCTTTATATTTAGACTATTTTACTTTGCATGAATACAGCAGGTTTCACTTATTTAATTCTGTGATCGATTTATTCTAACAATCAGTGATCATCGCAAAATAGTTATTAATAAAAACTTCATAAACACTGATTTACAGTCAACATGTATCCCAATATCCAGGGGGAAAAAAAGGTTAAACTTACCACAAATGTACACGTTTTAGCAACTGCATCCAAGGCCATCACTTTCCAGAATTCTTCAATGTTGCCAGGTATGGTTATATAAATATGAGAGGCAAAGAGAATACAAAACAGTCCTAGACAGAGAGTTTTGAACCCCATAGTATGCCTTTTTCAGCCTCTTCTCAGTGCTGATATTAAAAATCTTCCATAAATATTGAATCAATAAGTAGCAGAACATATGTAGGAAACTCTTTCAGGTAATATGATCATGTTAACAATATGAAGCTAAATCTCAATTTGAAAATTGCAGTCAGTAGTAACTTGTTTTGCAAATACGCAGATGCCAAGACAGATGTCCTAATTCATCGCCTATATTATTAGCATGCAAATAAAACCTCCCAGTGTTTCTTCACCTTGTGATGCAATCAACTCAAAACAACTTTACTATTGAGACATAGATCAGAGACTATGTGAGCTGTGAAAAAGCCCTAAATTTTGTGATTACCTGCGATATTTTATGAGGTTTTTAAAACAAATTGGTATTTAATCAAAATGTGTTCTAATACCATTTGTACAGATTACTAACCATGTAAATAAACCTTACTTGCTGGGATGGCCCTAGCTTTGAACCAAAAGATTAACTAAGCTTTCATCAAGCTGAAATTTCTTCATATCTCAAGTACCACAAGGCTCAATACAAGTATCTCAGCAAACAATTTGCTTTTTTCTTTAAAGATTTCATAGCAACTTCAGTCATATGGTTAAGTGACTTACATTGAAAATTACCCTACTCCAATAATTTGGACTAGCATGGCAGGAAACAACCTGAGATCCTGACAGACACCTGTCTTTAGAACTGATGACCCGTATGTTTTTTTTCCCCCCACTCTGTGGCATATTTTATTGTTCTTTATTGAAGAGGTCAAAAACACATTGTATTTATAGTTACAGAAGACCAAGTTTATTTCTGGAGGAATTTTTGTGAACATGTGCCCCTGCCTGACCATCATGTTCAACCACGGTACTTCTGAACATCAGGTCCCAGAAGTATGGTCATTTCTGACCTGTACCCTAGTTCTTGTATGCATAAATAAATAAATCCTTAATTAAAAAAAAAAGCTAATAGGGCTACTGAGGAGGTGGGAGGCACTCACTGGCCACTCACAGGGCACGAGGCAACTGCTAAGGCCGGAGCCCAGGAGTCTGACAGTACTGCTGTTGCCACCTGTATATTATCTCCTGCTGCCTTCTATCAAAGACTTGTTCCTGGCCCCACATATTGGCTTCATGAACTGTTTTCTGCTGCCACCAAGAACTGAGCAGCCTTGCCCCCTATTACAGATTACATTGATATGGGCAGAAATATCAGTGTGGTTTTTAAATCAGATTTTGCAGGTGATTCTAAGGTGAGACCAGAGCTAAACAATAGGTTTTCTGGATAATCTCCCAAAGGGATCTGCTCTAGTTAGTAGGTGCAAGTAACCACTGCCCATGGTTCCCACTGTAGAAGGATCTGTGAAAGTCTGTGGAAAGGGAGGACACCTGTAGAGAATAAAAGAGAAAATCACATCTGTTGGGTTGGGAATGCGTCAGAATGTCCCCGGCCACACATGGAGGGATGACACAGTAACCAAAACAAATAGATACCCCACTGATTGGGAGAAAATTTTTGCACTCCATACAACTGATAAGGGAGTGATCACAAAGGTCTACAAATAACTCACATGACTTAACAAAAGCAAAATAAACAATCCAGTCAAAAAATGGGCAGTAGAACTTAAAAGACACTTCCCTAAAGAGGAAATGCAAATGTCCAACAGGCATATGAAAAAATGTTCAACACCCCTCATAATCAGGGAAATGCAAATCAAAACCACAATGAGATACCACCTTACACCAGTGAGAATGGCACATCTTAAAAAAACTAGCAACTACAAATGTTAATGAGGATATGTTGAAAAAGGAACTCTCCTACACTGCTGGTGGGAGTGCAAACTGGTCCAACTACTATGGAAAGCTGTGTGGAGGTTCCTCAGTCTACTAAAACTGGAGCTACCATATGATCCAGCAATTCTACTCCTAGGGATCTACCCAAAGGACACAAAAACATTAAAACAAAAGAATACATGCATCCCTATGTTTACTGCATTACTATTTATAATATGTAGGACTTGGAATCAACCCAAATGCCCAAAAATAGATGACTGGATCAAGAAGATGTGGTATACATACACAATGGAATACTACGTAGCAATCAAAAAAGATAAACTCATGGCATTCACAGCAATATGGATGGAGCTTGAAGGGATTATGCTCAGTGAAATAAGTCAGAAGGAAAAAGAAAAATACCAGATGGTTTAACTTATAGGAGGAATATAGGGGATCAAGGAAAAAAATACTAATAACAACGAAACAAAAATAGACAGCTATAAATCAGAGACATTCTGCAGGGGAGAGGGAAGGGAAAGGGATCAAAATGAGGGGGGGAATCCCTGGTGGCGCAAGGGGTTCCACCACACTATGAAGCAATCTGCAGCCCCTGCAGCACAAGTTCGATCCCAGGCCAGCCAGGGAGCAACCTACACGGCACAACAGACCTCTCCTGTTTCACCCACTGCTCCCCTAAGCAGTTTACTTTGGTCAATCTGCCTGTTTTGTTCCCCACTCTGTCTCTGGTGAATCCTCTCACCCCCTGCATCTCTGGCCTGTACCCCAGCTCTTGTATAAATAAATAATCTTTAAAAAAAAAAAAAAAAAAAAAACGAGGGTGGGAAGAACACAAGGGAACTATTGTGATGATGCATGGGTAAATTAGTGGTGGAAATTCTATGGGGACTATACCTGAGAAAAGAAAGCAAACAGTGTAAGAAAAAAATAAATAGAATTTTAAAAAAGAAATGTAGTTATTACTATAAAGTTCAGCATAGTGGTTACATTTGAAAGGAGACCTGTGTGAAAGTGCGAGAGTGGCCAGAGGCCTCACCACCTCCTATGAGATTCCGCCAGTGCCCACACAGACTATCCACACCCCAGATCCATACAGGGTGAGCTCCAGAGCAGAAAGAGACCTCGCAAACTCGCATGAGAAGCCCCCAGTCAACCAGGGCCCACCCAGACTGGTGAGAATCCACAGCCATGCTGGGTAAGTTGTGAGAACAATCATAGGCTGTGCAACTTCCCATGAGACCACACCAGCATGTGCCCAGACTAGTGGGACCCCAAACTCATGCCAGGGAGGGTGCCACAGCAACCACAGGCCTCAGAACCTGCCAAAAGACCCCACCAGCACCTACCCAGATTGGCAGAACCCTTGCAACCTCTGGCAAGGCCCTAAGAGTGCCTGTCCAACACCAGAACCGTGCTGGGGGAGGTATCAGATGGCAGAGGTCTTTCCACCTGTGATTCACCACCAGCTTCTCACTCATACAGGTCAGACCCCTGACCAGTGACGGCAGAGAAGCCACACCCATAGGAAACCCCACATACAGCAGCTGGGTCCCAAAATAATGGAAGAAGTTAAAACCCAACAAATGGCAACATGAGTCTTCAAGGGAACACTATAACACAGAAAAAATCTGCAGAACCCAACTTCAAGACATGGAAGCTATGTTCTTCCAATGAGATATAGAGTTTAAAATTATAATAATTAACAAATTAAAAGAAATGGAGGAAAAGTCAGAAAAAAATGAATGTGCTTAGAAATAAAATCAATGAACTGAAGACAACATGAACATGATCAGAACATTTACATGAGCCTACAGTTGGGCAAAATTAGCTAATACAAAACCAATTTCATAATGAAGTGTTTTATAGACATGATAGGATGCAGAAACACAAAACACAACATCGAAACAGGCTGGCAACTTAGTACAACATAGACTATCACTGTTTAGCCTCTTAATCTATCCCTCTTGACAAGGCAGAAATTAGAGTCATAAATTTGGACAAAACCATACTTACACATAGCACACATAAAAGCACATCTCTTGAAGAAATAGGATCCCAAAAAGTATCTCTGTGCATGCACACTCACACCAGTCACATGCACTCACATACTTACACATATTCTATATTCTATCTCAAGCACCTTCATCTACACACAGAGCCAAAACAAAACTCAAACTCATTCACAGATACACACAAACATGTACACACAATCACACTCATATGCATGCATCATGATAACATATTCATATGTGGAAGAACAGCAGTGCCTCTTGAACTCATGATGATTTAAAAAGGGACCTTGAGCATTTTTCATACTCCTTCCACACACAATCCTTCACCCCATCCTAGATCAAAAGTTTCATCTTCACCCAAGGTAAGTTCAAGGTTGAGTTTTTCTTTCTATATATTTCTACCTATTCACCTATCAATTTCATACACACACATATATATATGTACTCCCACAAATACATGTATACATGCATGAATAGCTATACATCTTTATATATTTGCAAAGATCAGATAGAATATTCCCAAATTCTGTATCCACATCTCCATCTTGTTCTCTCAGTAAACTCATTCACATCAAATAAGAATTACAAGAAAATGTTGTATTCAATTCTATTTAGTGCAACATAATACAAACTACTATATGTAATAATCTTCAGGAAAATACAGCTGCTTTTACCCCTTTTATTAAGAGGGAAAAAAATCAATCCCAGACTGAGTCGAAAATGAAGTGTCGGGCTTAACCCTGAATTTTTTTTCAACTGTGTGACAGATAAACATCCCATAAACACAAGTGCCCAAACTGAACACAAACCCAGCAGCCTGGTCACCCCTTTCACTTTTCTTCTTAAACTCTCCCAGTTGGGCTCTGGGAAAGGCAAAAGCTAACCGCCCTCCAGCCACCTTCCCCCAATGAAGTCCTTCACACATAACAGGTGGATATCAATTCCCAGCAGCTCATGAGGGATGCAGATTCAAGAACTATGGAAACACCAGGAAACACATTTAGCTATAAAAGATAAAAATAGACTCAAAGTTAAAGGATGGGAAACAATCCTACAAGCAAATGGACCAAAAAACAAAGCAGGAACAGCTATACTTATATCAGATAAAACAGATTCCAATGTAGTGACCCCAATGGTCACTACATTATGATCAAGGGGACAATACTTCAAGAAGAAATAACGCTCATTAACATATATTCACCAAACGAAGGAGCACCAAAATATATCAGACAACTATTGTCATCTCTGAAAACAGACATCAGAGAAAACACATACGTAGTGGGAGACTTCAACACACTACTAACAACAATGGATAGATCAACGAGACAAAAAATAAGTAAAGACACTAAAGCTCTAAATAAGGATCTAGAGTGCTTGGGCTTAACAGACATCTATAGAACACTAAACCCAAAAAAATCTGAGTACACATTTTTCTCAAGCACACACGGATCATTCTCCAGGATCGATCACATACTGGGACACAAGACAAACATCGACAGATACACCAAGATTGAAATCAAACCAACCATCTTTTCTGACCAAGAAGGCATCAAACTAGAAATAAACCATAAAAAGAAGGCAAGGAACTTTCCTACCTCATGGAGATTGAAAACCACACTTC